TATATATAAAATGAGAAATATATATATTAAAATATATAAACTATATATAGAATGAGAAATATATATGAAAAAAATATAAAATATATATACAAAATGAAAAATATATATATTAAAATATATAAGATATATATAATGAGAAATATATATATTAAAGGTAGACAAAATGAGAATTATATATTCATAATAGAAAAAATGAGAAAGATATATACTAAAAATACATAAAATATATATGAGATGAGAAATATATATATATTACAAAAATAAGATATATAAAATGAGAAATATACATATTACAATATATAAAATTAGAAATATATTTTAAAAATTATAAAATATATATAGAGAAATATATATGAAAAATATATTAAAAAAGAAATATAAATATTAAAAATATATAAAATGAGAAATATATATATAAAATGAGAAATATACGTATGAAAATATACAAATATATATATAAAATGAGAACTATGTATATTAAAAATATATGAAATGCGAAATATATATTAAAAATATATGAAATATATCTAAAATGATAAATATACCTATTAAAATATAAAAAATACACATATAAAATGAGAAATATACGTCTAAAATATGTAAAATGAGAAATATACACATTAAAATATATCTCAAATATGAACTATACATATGAAAATTTATGAAATACATATATAAAATGAGAAAGATACATATAAAATGAGAATTATATGTATTAAAAATATAAAATATATCTAAAATGAGAACTATACATATGAAAATATAGAAAAGACATATATAACATGAGAAATATACATGTAAAATATATATAAAAAATAGATATATATATGAAATGAGAAATATACACATTCAAATATATCTAAAATGAGAACTAAACATATGAAAATATATAAAATACCTATATAAAATAAGAACTATACATATAAAAATATTAAATATATATATAAAATGAGAACGATACATATTAAAATATATAAAATACACATATAAAATGAGAAATATACATGCAAAAAAAATATATAAAATATATATATATGAAATGAGAAATATACACATTCAAATATATCTAAAATGAGAACGTTACATATGAAAATATATAAGATACCTATATAAAATAAGAACTATACATATAAAATATATATAAAACATATATATAAAATGAGAACGATACATATTAAAATATATAAAATACACATATAAAATGAGAAATATACATATAAAATATGTAAAATGAGAAATATACACATTGAAATATATCTCAAATGTGAACTATACATATGAAAATGTATGAAATACATATATAAAATGAGAAATATACATATAAAATGTATATAAAATGAGAATTATATGTATTAAAAATATAAAATATACCTAAAATGAGAACTATACATATTAAAATATAGAAAAGACATATATAACATGAGAAATATACATGCAAAATATATATAAAATAGATATATATGAAATGAGAAATATACACATTCAAATATATCTAAAATGAGAACGATACATATGAAAATATATAAAATACACATATAAAATGAAAACTATCATGCAAAAATATATAAAATATATATGAAATGAGACATATGCACATTAACATATATATAAAATGAGAAGTATACACATTCAAATATATCTAAAAAGATGTATATGAATGAAAATATATAAAATACCTATATACAATAAGAACGATACATATAAAATATATATTAAATATATATATAAAATGAGACATATACATATCTAAAATGAGAACGATACATGTTAATATATATAAAACATTCATATAAAATGAGAACGATACATATTAAAATCTATAAAATGCCTATATAAAATAAGAACTATACATATAAAATATATATTAAATATATATATAAAATGAGACATATACACATTCAAACATATCTAAAATGAGAACGATACATGTTAATATATATAAAACATATATATAAAATGAGATTAAAATTGAATTAAAATCTATAACGTGCAGGTATAAAATGAGAAATGTGCGTCTGTAATAACTGGAAACCATATATATTTATATAAAACAGCGTCTGTGACCAGGGTCAGCGCCGGCCTCACTCACCGATGTCCGACAAGTAGTCTATGGCCTCGGCGCAGGGCACCGGCCCGCGGCGGCTGGCGCCCGTCACCAGGAACCGGTACTGACGGTCAGAAAAGGCGGAGACGTTGTCGAACCGGCACTGCACGTGGGTGCCCTGGGCGTTGGCTGTGTACCGGGGGCAGCCCCACTGCCGGGAGGTGCTGAGGGGAGGGGGCGGGGCTGATGAGGACGATAGCCCCGCCCACAAGACCCTAGCCCCGCCCACAAGCCCTAGCCCCGCCCACAAGCTCACAGTCCCGCCCACAAGCCCTAGCCCCGCCCATAAGCCCACAGTCCCGCCAATAAGTCCACAGTCCCGCCCACAAGCCCTAGCCCCGCCCATAAGCCCACAGTCCCGCCAATAAGTCCACAGTCCCGCCCACAAGCCCTAGCCCCGCCCATAAGCCCACAGTCCCGCCAATAAGTCCACAGTCCCGCCCACAAGCCCTAACCCCGCCCAAAAGTCCCTCCCATCATCTAATAGCCCCGCCCATAAGGCCCTAGCCCCACCCATGAGACCCTAGCCCCTCCCACAACTCCATAGCCCCGCCCATAAGTCTCCAGTCTCACCCACATACTCACTAGCCCCGCACATAAGCTTATAGCCCCGCCCACAAGCCCTAGCCCCGCCCATAAGACCACAGTCCCGCCCACAAGCCCCTGGCCCCTCCCACAAGTCCCTAGCGCCGCCCACACATCCATAGCCACTCCCACAAGCCCCTGGCCCCTCCCACAAGTCCCTAGCCCCGCCCACAAGCTCCTAGCCACGCCCACAAAACCTAGCCCCGCCCATAAAGCCATAGCCCCGCCCACAAGTCCCTCCCGTCATCCAATAGCCCTGCCCACAAGCCCCTAGCCCCGCCCACAAGCCCTAGCCCCGCCCATAAGCCCACAGTCCCGCCCACAAGCCCTAGCCCCGCCCATAAGCCCACAGTCCCGCCCACAAGCCCTAGCCCCACCCACAAGTCCCTCCCATCATCTAATAGCCCCGCCCACAAGTCCCCTAGCCCCACCCATTAGGCCCTAGCCACTCCCACAACTCCATAGCCCTGCCCACAAGTCCATAGCCCTGCCTACACATCCATAGACACGCCCACAAGCCCCTAGCCCCGCCCATAAGCCCACAGTCCTGCCCACAAGCCCTAGCCCGCCCACAAGCCTAGCCCCGCCCATAAGCCCACAGTCCCGCCCACAAGCCCTAGCCCCACCCACAAGTCCCTTCCATCATCTAATAGCCCCGCCCACAAGTCCCTAGCCCCACCCATGAGGCCCTAGCCACTCCCACAACTCCATAGCCCTGCCCACAAGCCCCTAGCCCCCGCCCATAAGCCCACAGTCCTGCCCACAAGCCCTAGCCCGCCCACAAGCCTAGCCCCGCCCATAAGCCCACAGTCCCGCCCACAAGCCCTAGCCCCGCCCATAAGCCCACAGTCCCGCCCACAAGCCCTAGCCCCACCCAAAAGTCCCTCCCATCATCTAATAGCCCCGCCCACAAGTCCCTAGCCCCACCCATGAGGCCCTAGCCACTCCCACAACTCCATAGCCCCGCCCACAAGTCCCTAGCCCTGCCCACACATCCATAGACACGCCCACAAGCCCCTAGCCCCGCCCATAAGCCCACAGTCCCGCCCAGAAGCCCTAGCCCCGCCCACTAGCCCCGCCCAGCATCCAATAGCCCTGCCCAGAAGTCCCTAGCCCCACCCATGAGACCCTAGCCCCTCCCACAACTGCATAGCCCCGCCCACAAGCCCCTAGCCCCACCCATGAGACCCTAGCCACTCCCACAACTCCATAGCCCCACCCACAAGTCTCTAGTTTCTCTCAGAAGTCCCTAGACCCGCCCACAAGCCCATAGCCCCTCCCACAAGCTCACTAGCCCCGCCCACCATTTCATAGAACCACACACAAGTCCCTAGCGCCTCCCACAACTCCATAGCCCCGCCCACAACTCCATAGCCCCGCCCACAAGTCTATAGCCCTGCTCAGAAGTCCCTAACCCCGCCCACAAGCCCCTAGACCCACCCACAAGTCTCTAGTACCGTTCAGAAGTCCTAGCCCCGCCCACAAGCCTCTAGCCCCTCCCACAAGTCCATAGGCCCTCCCACAAGTCCCCTAGCCCCGCCCACAAGTCATAGCCCCGCCCACACACCCATAGCCCCGCCCAGAAGCCCTAGCACCGCCCACAAGTCCCTAGTTTCGCCCACAACTCCATAGCTGCACCCACATAGTCATAACCACGCCCACAAAGTCCCTAGCCCCGCCCACAACCCCCTAGCCCCACCCACAAGTACCAAGCCCCTCCCACAAGTCCATAACCCCGCCCATACGTCCATAGCCCTGCCCATCAATAACTAGCCCCGCCCACAAATCACTAGCACCGCCCACACGTTTCTAGCCATGCCCAGGAGACCACAGCCCCGCCCAGGATTTCCAGCCCCGCCCACGAGGCCACACCCACCTGGTGTCCTCCAGCGAGAACTCATACTGGATGTCGCCAGGGGCCACCCTACTGGCCGCCCAGGAAACCCTAGCCCTGCCCACAAGCCCCTGGCCCCGCCCACAAGTACCCTAGCTCTGTCCAGGAGACTCTAGCCCTGCCCACAAGTCCATAACCCCGCCCATACGTCCATAGCCCCGCCCACCATTATATAGCCCCGCCCACAAATCACTAGCTCCGCCCACACATCCCTATCCCCGCACACAAGCCCCTAGCCCCACCCACAAGTACCTAGTCCCGCCCACAAGTCCATAGCCTTGCTCACAAATCCCAAGCCCCGCCCACATGCCCATAGCTCCGCCCACAAGCCCTATCCCCGTCCACAAGTCCACTAGCCCCGCCCACCATTTAATAGCCCTGCACACAAGTCCCTAGCCCCACCTATGAGACCCTAGCGCCTCCCACAACTCTATAGCCCCGCCCACAAGTCCCTAGTCCCGCCCACAAGTCCCTAGCAACGCCCACAAGCCCATAATCACAACCACAAATCCTAGCCCCGCCCACAAGTCTCTAGCCCTCCCACAAGTTTATAGCCCCACCCACACACCCATAGCCCCGCCCAGATGTCCCTAGCACCGCCCACAAGTCCCCTATCCCCACCCACAATTACCAAGCCCCGCCCACTAGTACCCTAGCTCCGCCCAGGAGACTCTAGCCCTGCCCACAAGTCCATAACCCCGCCCATACATCCATAGCCCTGCCCACCAACATCTAGCCCCACCCACCAATCACTAGTCCCGCCCACACGTCCCTAGCCACGCCCACAAAGCCCTAGCCTTGCCCCGAGGCCACACCGACCTGGTGTCCTCCAGCGAGAACTCATACTGGATGTCGCCAGGGGCCGCCCTACTGGCCGCCCAGGAAACCTAGCCCCGCCCACAAAGTCCATAGCCCCGCCCACAAGCCCATAGCCCCTCCCACAAGTACCCTATGTCCGTCCAGGAGACTCTAGCCCTGCCCACAAGTCCATAACCCCGCCCATCTGTACATAGCCCTGCCTACCAACCACTAGCCCCGCCCACCAATCACTAGCCCCGCCCACACGTCCATAACCCCGCCCATTCGTACATAGCCCTGCCCACCAATCACTAGCCCCGCCCACCAACCACTAGCCCCGCCCACACGTCCCTAGCCACGCCCACAAAGCGCTTGCCTTTCCCCCGAGGCCACACCAACCTGGTGTCCTCCAGCGAGAACTCATACTGGATGTCGCCAGGGGCCGCCCTACTTGCCGCCCAGGAAAACCTAGCCCCGCCCACAAGCCTTTAGCCCCGCCCACAAAGTCCATGACCCCGCCCACAAGCCCATAGCCCCTCCCACGAGTACCCTATCTACGTCCAGGAGACTCTAGCCCTGCCCACAAGTCCATAACCCCGCCCATCCGTACATAGCCCTGCCCACCAATCACTAGCCCCGCCCACCAATCACTAGCCCCGCCCCACACGTCCCTAGCCACGCCCACAAAGCCCTAGCCTTGCCCCCGAGGCCACACCGACCTGGTGTCCTCCAGCGAGAATTCATACTGGATGTCGCCAGGGGCCGCCCTACTTGCCGCCCAGGAAACCTAGCCCCGCCCACAAGCCTCTAGCCCCGCCCACAAAGTCCATAGCCCCGCCCACAATCCCATAGCCCCTCCCACAAGTACCCTATGTCCGTCCAGGAGACTCTAGCCCTGCCCACAAGTCCATAACCCCGCCCATCCGTACATAGCCCTGCCTACCAATCACTAGCCCCGCCCACCAATCACTAGCCCCGCCCACACGTCCCTAGCCACGCCCACAAAGCCCTAGCCTTGCCCCCGAGGCCACACCGACCTGGTGTCCTCCAGCGAGAATTCATACTGGATGTCGCCGGGGGCTGCCCTGCCGGCCTCCCAGGAGCAGGTGAGGAAATCCTTGTCATGGATCTTGCAGCTCAAATTGCGAGCAGCCGCCAACGGGTCCCCTTCTGCCCGGACAGAGACGGGAGCAAAAAAAAAAAAAAAATTAAAAAAAAAAACACTGAAAAAATTTACTGGAAAAATTATTGAAAAAGGGCAAAGAAGATTCCCCCTCCTCACCCCGTCCACATGCAACGGAGAGAGCTGGGGGAAATTGCAATGGTTGCAAAATAAAGAAAAAAAAAAATGCAAGGGACATAGACAGCCATAAACAGGATTTAAAAATGCAAGAGTGAGCGAAAGAGCTGAAAAATGCAAATATTATTAAAAAAAAAATGCAAGGGAGATAACAACAACAAAAAATTACAAAAATATTTCAAGGCAGAAAGCAGAGAAATGCAAAGATTTTCAAAAAACCCAAAATGACAAAAATCACAGGAAAATGACAAAAATTACCAAACAATGACAACTATTACCAAAAATGACAAAAATTACCGGAAAAATGACAAAAATTACCGGAAAATGACAAAAATTACCAAAAAATTACAAAAAATGACCAAAAAAATTCAAACATTACCGGAAAATGACAAAAATTACAGGAAAATGGCAAAAATTACTGAAAAATGACAGAAAAATGACAAAAATTACCGAAAAAAGACAAAAATTACCGGAAAATGACAAAAATTAAAGGAAAATGACAAAAGTTACTGAAAAATGACAGAAATTACTGGAAAGTGACAAAAAATACAGGAAAATGACAAAAATTACCGGAATATAACCCAAGGGAAATAGATAGATAGCCAAAAATTTAATTAAAAATGCAAGAGAGAGAGGGAGAATAATGAAAAATGCAAGAATTACAAAAAAAAATGCAAGGGCGAGAGGCCCCCACAAAAAACCCTGCAAAACAAAAATTTTCAAGGAAAATAGAAAAAAAAATACAAAAAATATTAAGGAAGAAAGCCATAATATTCAAAAGTTACAGAAAATTGTGAAGGTTGCAAAAATATGCCAGGG